GGCCCCGCTGGCGGTCCCGGCGCGGTACTCGCCTCGCCGCCCGGCACCCGGGACGCCTCACCCCAGCGACGCGCGACCCGCCCACGCCGAACGCGCACGCGTCACTTCCTCAACGTCGGTGAGCGTCACTGCCGCGCGGCGCGGCTGGGGGCAGTGACGTGCCGCGGCCGCTTCCCGCGGTTGCCCGCTCGCCCGCCTGAGGCGAGGTGGGCGGCGGCGGAGCGGGCGGCCGTGCTCGGCTCTTCCCCTGGGCCGCCGGCAGCCGCTGACCTTTACCGCGGGCGTGCCAGGCTGCCTCGCTAGTGCGTTTTTAGCTGGCGGCGCACGGGCCCGGCTTGGGCTGCGGGCCGTGGCACACGGGGCACCTCGGGCCGGCCGCCCTGCGGGGGAGCGATGCCCGGGGCAGAAGGGCCGGTAGGCCGGAGCCACAGAGGAACTGCTTGCAGGGACCGCTTCAAAAGTTCGGTTTTCTCACTTGACGTCTCTTAGCGTCAGGTGATTGTCCTTTGAAAGGCTCGGGGAAGGAAGCGTGCTCTAGTGGTTGCAAAATTAGCCCGGGACTCAAAAAACAAGTGTTGTTGAGCAAGTAATCTGATTGCTTCAAGGCTCCTCCAAGGGAAGAAGAGAGAAGGGTGCATAATATGCAGCTTGGGATTTAGCAGTAGGGTTGCTTAGAGGCTTAGTAATCAATTGGCGAGAGGAGCAGTCTTTTAAGAGCTACGGGTCATCTGCCTGCTGGGCTCTGTAGCAGCAGTTCCTTATGTTTTATGCGTTCCATTCTATTTTCTTCATAATTCTCTGGTAGTGGCAAAAGCAGAAAACTAGATTTTCTTCGGGGGTCTTTTTGCTGTCTCTACAATTTCTCCCCATCTTTCTATCTCCCCGTTCCAGTGGTGTGAAACTCCTGGACCCAGGTCCTCCCCCTTTGGGCAGCAGAACTGAATTTATTTGCCAACAGCCTTGGGCCAACTGCAAGAGGATAAATACGTAGCCGAATACATTTGGAAATGTATTGCTAATGAAATGCTGAGCCATTTCTATCGAGTTTAGCTCTTGGCTTTAGGGGACAATTTGCAATTCCGTTTGACCACAGAGTTGCTTTCTTCAATTGCCTTTCAGTTGTCCTGCTCCATGTATTCTTAATGCTGTCTTTTTACAGTGAATGTCTTGAAACAACATGCATATTGTAAAAAACATATTACTACTTTGTAAATTATTCAGGGGTGGAGACAAGGCATGTATAAGTAAGTGACAGAGGCATGATACCTTACGCTTCTCACTCTTAATTTCAACAAAATGCTGCAGATGAGAGAAAACAAGTCCAGTAATAATAATACTTTTATAGTGCACCTTTGATCCAAAGAAATCCCAGATACTACTGATTAGTCACCCTGCATATAGAAGATTGTGACTGTAGCTATGCAGAAATGTCAGTTGTTTAACAGAGGAATAGCAGAGGTGGTGTTTGTGTATGACTAGATGTAATGTTTTAATCATGAAAATTTAAGGATGTAGGTTAGGGTGTATAGGGAGAGATGGTAACTTTTATTAGATTTTGGGCTTTGTCTTCTTTACACCCTGCCTTTCGATATTTGTACACACTGATGAGATCTTCCTTCTTCTTTAGGCTATGCAGTCCCAGCTCTTTCTTACAGGGGAGATGGTCCAGTCCCTACTCATCTTACTGGCCCTTTGCTGGACTCTTGTCTACTAGCCCCATATGTCTCCTGTACCAGGAAAGTCCTAGTCTCTGTAGACATTGATTGTCTGACATTTTCTCAACTGTGTTCCTACAGTGAGTTGATGGAGCCCACACTGCTGTAGTAAAACACTGTTGATAAATGAAGTATCCAGCGATTCAAGCATTTCAAACATGGTTGAAACTTTTTTGCCAAATTTGTGGCATACCTAACACACCTACAGACTCCCTACACACCAGTAGGGATTCTGTTACTTTTTCTCATAAATCACCACCACTGACAGTTTTTGTAAAATACTGTATCCTACCAAGTTCTCCATGTTGCTAGCTCTCTATGACACATTATACCATTTCCTTTAATACCCACTGGTGTGAGTATTAATGAATAACTCTCAAAATTATTGGTGGTTTTATTCTGAACTACAATTTCAGGTCCTTGACTTAAGATGCTCCTTTCCTTCCATTCCCTTATTCCCTCCTTCCCCCAATGTCTGGAAGTCTCAAGAAACCACAGAATGGGTTCTCTAAGGTCTGTAAGATCAAGACCCAAAATGTCAGCAGGCAAATAAAGCAGTGCTTAGTTGATATACTCTTATTTGTTTCCTTTGCTCTGAAATATGCTATTGCTGCAAATATCCTTTACTTCGTATTTAACGACTAGAATGAGGAGGCTTGTTTTTAACTTTTGTTGCTATCTTCTAAGTACAAGGAATGATGCTTTGTTGTTGTGGTTTAAGCCCAGCCAGCAACTAAGCACCATGCAGCTGCTCTATCACTCCCCCTCCTCAGCTGGACAGGGGAGAGAAAATATAACAAAAGGCTCATGGGTCAAGATAAGGACAGGGAGAGATCACTCAACCAATTACCGTCACGGGCAAACCAGACTCAACTTGGGGAAAATTAACTTAATTTATTGCCAATCAAACCAGAGTAGGGTAATGAGAAATAAAACCAAATCTTGAAACACCTTCCCTCCACCCATCCCTTCTTCCCAGGCACACCTTCACTCCCAAATTCTCTACCTACCCGCGCGCAGCAGTGTAGGGGGACGGGGAATGGGGGTCACGGCCAGTCCATCACATGTTGTCTCTGCTGCTCCTTCCTCCTCAGGGGCAGGACTCCTCACACTCTTCCCCTGCTCCAGTGTGGGGTCCCTCCCATGGGATACAGTCCTCCACGATCTTCAACATGGGTCCTTCCCACGGGCTGCAGTTCTTCACAAACTGTTCCAGTGTGGGTCCTTTCCACAGGGTGCAGTCCTTCAGGAGCACACTGCTCCAGCATGGGTCCCCCACGGGGTCACAAGTCCTGCCAGAAAACCTGCTCCAGTGTGGGCTTTTCTCCATGGATCTGCAGGTCCTGCCAGGAGCCTGCTCCAGCACGGGCTTCCCGTGGGGTCACAGCATCCACCTTGCTTGTCCTTTGGGCATCCACCTGCTCCAGTGTGGGGTCCTCCATGGGCTGCAGGTGGATATCTGCTCCACTGTGGACCTCCCTGGGCTGCAGGGGGACAGCCTGCCTTACCATGGTCTTCCCCCTGGGCTGCAGGGGAATCTCTGCTCTGGCGCCTGAACACCTCCTCCCTCTCCTTCTTCACTGACCTTGGTGTCTGCAGGGTTGTTTCTCTTACATGTTCTCACTCCTATCTCTGGCTGTGGTTTCTGTGACCCAGCAACTTTTTTTTCCCTTCTTAAATATGTTATCACAGAGGTGCTACCACTATCACTGAGGGGCTTGGCCTTGGCCAGCGGCAGGTCCATCTTGGAGCTGGCTGGCATTGGCTCCGTTCGACTCAGGGGAAGCTTCTAGCAGCTTCTCACAGAAGCCACCCCTGTAATCTCCCCACTACCAAAACCTTGCCATGCAAACCCAATACGTTAGTAATTGCTGAAACAATTGAAAATGTGGAGTGCAAAGTCTTTCAGCAGAGTGAGAAAGGCAGCAACCAGGGGGCATTTAAGGACAGAGCAACATCAAGCTGTTGTCAAAACTAAACTGCTGTATGGAGGGGTTGGCTCAGTTTTCCAGAAACTGATTAATGAGGGGGGAAAGATAAGCTGTCCTGGAAGAAAGAAAACAGAGTTTTGTATTATTTGCTAGGAGAAGAGTTTTCAAATGAAAGGTTGCTTCTTTCCCAAGCTCAAGAGGAAAATGAGTGAAGATTTTCCTATATGTTAACAGACTTATATAGGTTAAGAGATTACTGATATGGGAGATGGTTAGTACTAAGTCTGAAAGAAGACGCTGTAATCCAACATTAAATATTATTGCTTCAAGACAAGTACTCGCAGAACAAAGCAGTTACACTGGTATCCTGACTGTGACTCCAAAGATCCCTGGTAGAGCTTGCTCATAAAGATCCCTGTTGTGCTCTGTAGATGAGGGGTTATATGGGACTGAAGATGATCTTTGTGGGAGCGTTCCGAAAGCGTGATATGAAAATGTGGGAGGCCCTTCAGGCAGAGACTGATCAATGTCATCTGTCCATGAAACACCATATACACTGGGAATGATGTATAAATAATAAGCATATATTATACAACTAGTCTGTTACAAACTGGGTCACACTCCCAGGTGGTGTGAGTGAAGGCTGTTCAACTGAAGCCTGCTGAAGCCAGGTCTCCCAGCATTTGAAAATCAATATGGCTCCATTAAAGTCATAGCAAGGATAGATTCTATAGGCCTTTAAAGCTCATTTCGTGGTGGTCCATCCTCGATGCATTTGCAACACTATGCCTTTCTTTACCTCTTCTAACTCAACACATAGTTTTGCTTCAGCCACTGAGATCTATGGTTGCATTCTGTTCTCAGCCTCAGCTATTGCCTGAAACTGTCCATTTCAAAGGCTGTAAAAGTACAAAATCTGTATTATAAACCAGAATGACTTTGAAGTTATATTTTCAGTGCAGTCATTTTCACACAGAAAATTAACCTCTGATGAACTGGAAGTTCAATTCTGCTCTCAGCTACATACACATATGGCTTCTGATCTTTTCATATGGAATGCATGCGTACACACTCATTTCTATATTTTACTGAAGTCTTTAACTGAATTTACCTTTGTTTTGTTATATTTTTTTTCTACACATAGATGACTGCTAGCTGCAGTGCAGCTACTCTGCTAAACCACTGGCAGTGTGGATTCCTGGGCAGGCCAAGTTCTGCTTGTTTGGCTAGGTTTTTGTAATGTTGTTAATGTAGCCACAATCTTC